TATTTCTGCGTCTCTTCGTTTTGGGGAGTAGGTATATTATTCACCACACACACACACACACACACACACACACACACACACATATATATATATATATATATATATATATATATATATAAAAGCGTGTTCGTAACTTCGACCGATTTTAAATCTGAATTAACTTCGCTATTTTTTGTTTTTGGGTCAACATAATCGACCAACCGAGAGTGCAATTGGGAACAATGTAACGTTCTTGTGGAGAGGTTCAATTCCTGCGCGCGATAACAAATAGAGGGGTCTGGATTTTTGGTCAAATTCTTGTGCACTGCAGCAATGTTTTCAGTTGAACAGTGTAAACGAGCATGCAATGGTGTTTTCACATGTGCCACCGACCCAGTTTGTTTGAATTTACGAACAATTTTTTCAATTGCACTCTTGAAACTTTAACACGTTGTTCGATTGTTAATGTTTACATGGTTGATATTGCCAGACTTAAATTGCTAAATCTGAAGGAAAAAGAAAAAATCATTAGAGGCTTAAACTAAATTCACATTTAAAATCGGTCCAAGTTATTGGAACACCCTTTATATGACTTAATATATATTGTGTCCTTTACGGCATTTTTCAGAGAAGTGTTGGCTATTTGGCAGTGCTGCTCTGCTCGTGGTAAAATGCGACTGGTCTTACTGGGTTAAACAGTACCAGCAGCAAACAAAGAGATGCATCATGCGTTTCCTAAGTTGCTGCGTGTGAGTCAAAAGGTTGTTGAGTGTCACATGACCGACCAAGTGTCGTACAATCTAAATTGTAAAGAAGATAGAAAATTAACCTCACACTACCTTTGTGAATCTCAATTCAAGAATTGTTGCTTTATGCTTAACGTAAGAGAGAAAAGTAACACTTAAAAGATAAGGAAACTGAACATAGAATACATTGATCCATGAGTAGTTTTGCCCAACGCCACAAGTTGCTACTAAGCCAAAACATTAGCCAAAGAACTCGAGTCTTGTCCTTAAATCGCCTCCTCAGAACGATAGTTTCGTATGGGTATCATTGCATGACGCCAGACTTATTCAGAACTCTCAAAACTCTCAGTCATATACAACGGCTTTCTCTGATCAATGATTAAAAATATGCCTTCCAGTGAAAGAAGTGTTAGCGAAGCCTTCTTCGAAACTCGTGAACATTCGGTCGCTCAGGTGTATTTTATATTAAAGGAATAATAAAATAAAAATAATGGAAACATGATTTATATTTACAAAGATATGTACATGAATCCAAAAAAGAGTAAAAATAGTTAAAGTCGTTACGTAATTGGTCCACAGAAAAATCCGAGCATAGAAAAAGCTTTGATCGTCAGCAAAGATTCACTGACAGTCTGACCGTTGGAGATGATTCGTTTGAATTAACTGACATATGTTTCTTTCAGCACGCGCTAGGAGACAAAAGCTATGTAGACACGTATTCTGTTAGGCTTGAACTGCTTGGAGATGTCGCGTTTCTGCTGCTGAAAGTCGAAATCTGTTGGTTTTTATGAGACATTTTTTTCCCCAAAGCAGTCTCGAGAGAAATTGGGTGTTAGTTTTCTTTGACTGATCAAATATTTTACACGATGTTAATTTCTAACCAACATTCACTTTGATTTAAACGGTGTGTGTTGGATTGTGGAAACCTTTTGGCATGTTTGTAAATATTGTCTCATATTGCGTAAAAAATAAAGTTTGGGCGTGTTTCAACATGATATATATATGTGGGCATTGTATTGGAAATAGTTTATTTCCTATACATAAGCACTACAAAATCACAAACAATGAACAGAAACCGCATAATTTCAAAGCTTTCAACAGCAGTAGCAACAACGATTAAGATGGCTAACACTCGATGAGTCCATCCTTCAAATCTACAAATCAACCATTCGTCCTTGCATGGAATATTGCTGCCACATATGGTCTGGTGCTCACGCTGTTCATCTCGAGGTCCTCGACAAAATCCAGAGACGGATATGCAACGTGGTTCGTCCTGATCTGGCATCTCGTCTGCAGTCGCAAGCGCACAGATGTGCTGTAGCTTACCTCTGTCTTTTCTATAAGTACTTTCATGACAACTGCTCTTGACAAGCTACTTTCACTTGTTCCCAAACTGCATGAATTTAAACGTGCTACTAGGCTGACATCTTGGTCCCATCCTTTCACTGTCAAAACGGCTAAATATAGCCATCTCTTCTACTCCAACAGCTTCTTATCTCGCACCTCCCGTCAGTGGAACTCCTTTCCTATCACTTGCTTCCCTGATAGCTATAATATTCAAATATTCAAATGTAATGTCAATCAACATCTTCTGATTCTTGACCTTTACTTTTACTCTCACTCTGTAACCCCTTGTTTGAGGTGATTTGCTTAAAAAATCATGTGATCCGAAGAGAAAATCAAGATGTCGAAATTCCACACTACTTCAAGAAAAAGCTTAGGAAGGAACCCTCCATCAGTACTGTTAAGGACGATAACAGTGGACCTCAGAAAGCCATTGTCCTTAAAAATTGTCCTAAGAGAACGATTTTATAAATTTCAACCGAAAATAGGCCAATGAATGCCGAATATTTCCTTATAAGGAAACAGCTATTATTACCATTACGATTTTACAGGTATATAAGTCACATAGGTTACAGAGGTATTTCAAGGACGACCGCTTATTGTAATTCATCCTCGCTTCATAGTCATTCACTCCGAGATTTGGTAGACGGTAAAGACAATAATAGCACATTTCTGTAGACGAACTAGTAGAGAGAAAAAACAACAAAAAAAGATCTACTTCGAGTCGGTTGATTTAAAAACTTACAGACACTAACTGCACTAATATGTATTTAGATGTGCATATATGTATATGTGAGTATATGTGTGTGTGTGTGTTTGTGTGTGTGTAAACAAACAAACAAGACAAAAGAAAAACAAACATTACTGTGCAACCTATAATATCAGAGAAAACAGTGCACCCAACAAAAATTGGATTTTATTTATGTATGTATGAATGAATGAATGAATTGGGCACGTTGCCGAGTGGTTAGGGCGTTCGCTTTCTGACTATATGACCCGGGTTCGAATCTCACCATAGTCAATTTGCCAGGAATGTGATTTCTGGATGTTATCGGTCTGGAGGAGGTGATCCCAGCGTGGAAACCATACAACGGGCTAGACGGAATTCTTTAGGAACCGTCCATGGCTGTGCTAGCACGAAGTCACAAGCCATCGTGACTGAGGGTTTGAGCGTGCTCACTTTACTCAGACTGTTGATATATATTTTAATTTTAAATATTATATATCCTATATAAAGCGCTCTTTCCCACTCTCTGGAACTAAAGTCTGCTTAGTATAGTTGCAGTATAAACGACGGGTGGTCTCAGTGGGTGTTGAACAAGCACAAATTTACCTGAGCAGACGTCTGCAACAGAGATTGGCTAGCCGCTCTAGTAGACGGGTATCGTTGGATACGAGTGGCCGTGTGGGTGTGTTTGTGTGTGCGTATGCACGAGTATATATGAGGGGGGCACATGCATATGTGTGTACATCTTTATATATATAAGAAATAGTTGTATCTATATATGTGTACAAGTATGCATAAAAAAAGCCCTATAATGTATATGTTTGTGTGTGTGTGTGTATATATATATATATGCATACACTGATATATATGTGGTATGTAGATTCTTACAGCTATGTATAATTATGCAAAACGTTTCCACTATGTGTATATGCTTCGGTGGGCGTGTACACGTTTATGCATATATATATATATATATATATATATATATATATATATAAAAAAAGTTTCGATGAACTGATTTATAATCCAACTACACCAAAAGTCTCTGAAATAGGGTTGGTTGAAAAGTAGCTCCCTATTTTATGTATGAGTGGCTAACCAAAAGTCCTTAACAACCCGTGACTTTTTTCTTTGCTGATGGTTAAAGGTTACTATACCAAACCAAGACTTTGGAAGAACTTGAAGAGCGAATACAAGAAATTATATCTTCATATCATAAGGGATTTTGGTGAAATCAGTTGATATGATTCCTGGGCGGCTCGAAAAGCTGGTAGAGAAATCTGGTGCCTTATGTCGAATTTTAAATAAAACCTCATGCTAAACGCTTTACTCTCATATCAATTTCTTGTAAAAATTATGGTTAATAAATAACTTATAAGTATTTTAAAATAAGCAGTTACTTTCCAGTAACCCTTTAGATAAAATAATCAATTAAGCAAGCAGGCAATCAGACATTCTCTTGAGTCTGGACATTGGAAGTGATAAGGTAATCTAATTTAATTTGATTTATGGTTACCACTTATCTTCAGAGATCCAAAACATTTTTTCTTCACATGCCGTTTAGTCTTTTTTTCATTCTAACCCGAGGAAGCCAAAGCTAGCAGACGCTCTCGGCGAAACGCGTAGTTAATAAATTTTGCACTTGTTTCATCATCTTTGCTTTTGTTTGAGATATTATTATACATCATACAGACACACATAGTTATAATAACCTTATAAGCCGTGTAATTTGCATCGAGTATTAACTTAAAGAAACCGTTTGTATTATATGACGGCAGTTACGGTAGCTATAATGTTAAAGAGGGCTTAATTATACAGCAATAGTTTACGGCTGTTTACGCATGAGGTACATGAAAAAAATGCAATTATAATTTGTCACCATAAAACCTGTATAGTTTCTTACTGATATTCTACATAACTTTAATTATTTCAATGTGGGAATCTTATTTCTAACGATACTTTCGAGAAACATGCGCGTTATATTTTGATACTTTCTCCCTTGTTTGCGGTTTATCTTTTGAAATTCCAGATTTGGTTGGAGAATGAGAGAGAGAGAGGGGGGGGCGACGAAAGTCAAGTTATTTTTCTCTCAGAGTGGATGTGAGAAAACAGATCAAGTAAAACTGGTGAATTTCTCTTATGTAAACTGTCAGCCGGGCGAAAATGTAGGCCAAATTATGTGATCTGATTAACAGTCGCAAAATATGAGGAGGTCAACTACATACAGTTCGTATTATTATGCACGCTCTTTTAAAGTTATCTATCTATCTATCTATCTATCTATCTATCTATCTTCAGTCTGTTCACATTTCTCTCTCCATGTTTCTCTCTTTCGATCTATCTATCTATCTATCTATCTATCTATCTATCTATCTATCTATCTATCTATCTTCAGTCTGTTCACATTACTCTCTCCATCTATCTATCTATCTATCTATCTATCTATCTATCTATCTATCTATCTATCTATCTATCTTCAGTCTGTTCACATTTCTCTCTCCATCTTTCGATCTATCTATCTATCTATCTATCTATCTATCTTCAGTCTGTTCACATTTCTCTCTCCTTCCTTCCGATCTATCTTTATCTATCTATCTATCTATCTATCTATCTATCTATCTATCTATCTATCTATGAACTGTAAATAGAATGATTAGATGAGAAACAAGTAAGGAAACTTTATAAATTTGGCCAATTTCGCTATTTATTTAGCTTCATTAAAAATTCCTGGAAAGTGAAAAAACGCGGATTCTCGTTTCGATTTTTAAATTCAAAGTCGTTTTTTTCCATTGAATGTGAACGTGCGTAGGTATATATCCATGTTTGAATTCTGTTTATTCTGTTTTCATTGTTTGCCTTTATTAATTGCCTGATAAATATGGCGAATACTGGAAGTGCATGTGTAATACTAGGTGACATCATCTGCAAATGTCTGGATCTTATATTCCTTAAGTCTAGATGTCTCTCTTCTAAATCCGAGCTTTTGATGCATAGTTGGTTCTATTTTTTATTTATTTTTATTTTTTTTTTGCCGACCAAATCTTTGTCTTACAGCTAGTGATTATAATTTTTATAGTTGGACATCTATCTATCTATCTATCTATCTATCTATCTATCTATCTATCTATCTATCTATCTATCTATCTTTCATTCTGTTCATATCTATCTATCTATCTATCTATCTATCTATCTATCTATCTATCTATATTTCATTCTGTTCATATCTATCTATCTATCTATCTATCTATCTATCTATCTTTCATTCTGTTCATATCTATCTATCTATCTATCTATCTATCTATCGATCGATCGATCGATCTATATATCTCATTATGTTCACATCTATTTCATTCTGTTCACGTCTATCGCATTATGTTCAGATCTATTTCATTCTGTGCACATCGATCTATCTATCTATTTATCTCTCTCTCTCTCTCTTCTCTCTCTCTCTATATATATATATATATATATATATATATATATATATATATATATTTCATTCTGTTCACATGTATCTATCTATCTGTCCGTCTGTCCATCTATCTGTCTCTCTATCTATCGATCGATCAATCTATGCATTTCATTATGTTCACATTTATCTCATTCTGTTCACATCTATCTATCTATCTATCTATCTATCTATCTATCTATCTATCGATCGATCGATTGATCTATCTATGTATCTCATTCTGTTCATATTTCATTCTGTCCACATCTATCACAGTGTGTTCATATCGATCTATGATTGATTGACTGATTCGTTTTATAAAGCTTATCAAGCCATTGCAGATTATATAAATGAATTTTTAAAGAATTAACCCATAGCTGGTGTGATGAGAAGAGATGGACTCAAACCGCTCGCAAGGATATTTGCACGTAAGTTAATAAAATTGAAACGCAGCCCTCCGATTACCAATTCCAAGCCATTACCCATTACATCACCCATAAATCGAAACTCGTAGCACCTGGCATTCCCAAGCGGTCACCCATCTAGGTGCTGAACAGGCTCGAACTTGCTTAACTTCGGGGATCGTACGGGAACTGATATTTTAACCTCATATGTGTGTATGCGTGTATATATATATATAAGATATATATATATATATATATATGAGATATATATATATATATATATGAGATACATATATATATATATATATATATAAGATATATATATATATAAATATATGAGATACACACACACACACATATATATATATATATATATATATATATATATTGCAACCTGTCTATTCTACATATTTTACCAGTTATCTTTAATTTCTCTTCCTGCATTTCTATTTGGTAGAAAAATGAATAAGCCTCCTCCACACCATCCAGTTAAACTGACTTCAATGATATCGCAATTTGATTTTTTTTCAGGCCAAACACCGAGCGACACTATACTGTAAAAATGCAAACAACCTATTCATTAATATATTTTCAAAATCATCAATAGATATTATTCAAATAACGTTCTCTGCTGACATGAAGTGGAAAGACTATATTGAATTCATTGCTAGGTTAGCTGCTAAGAAAGTTGGTTCATTGTACCGGGCGAGACAATTTTCTCCCCTGAATCTATCTTGCATATCTATAAGTCTACCATTCGCCGATGATTAGAGTATTGCTGCCATATATGGTTCGGTGCCCCTGCTGTGTACCTGAAGTTCCTTGATAAAATCTGAAGAAGAATCAGCAATATTATTGGACCTGATCTGACGGCTCGACTGCAGTCACATGCCTACCGCCGTAAGGTTAACTCTCAGTGTCTTTTTTTAATAAATACTTTCATAGTAATTGTTCGGATATGCTCTTCGTTAGGCTACCTAAGATTGTAGGAATTTAAGCTAGAATGGCGGCTAGATTTCATTAATTTACAGTTGAGTTAGCTAGATGTTAGCCGTAACATCTCTGATGACAGTTCTTTTCTCGCACCTATCGTCTGTGGAACTTCCTCCCGACTCCATTCCTTTCCAGACAATGTTAATCTGCAAAAATTTAAATGCAATGTCAATCGTGATCTATTGTCTTTCTGATTGCTCTTTTCCTTTCCTCTGCATTACTAAGGTTTCTGTTCCTAATTTTTTCCATACCCTGTAACCCCTTGCTTCTTAATGATTATACTGCCTCGTTTCGGGTGATACCGATTAAAAAAAAAAGGTATGTATTTTGTAAGGATAAGTGGGTAACGCTAATGTAACAGTTAGCGTAACAATTACTGTAACAGCGTAACAGTTAGTGTAACAACTAGCGTAACAGTTAGTGCAACAGTTCGCGAAACAAATAGTGTAACAGTATAACGGTTAGTGTAACAGTTATCATTTCAATTAATGTAACAGCGGAACAGTTAGTGTAACAGCATAACAATTGGTGTAACAAGTAGCTTAACAGTTAGTGTAGCAGTCAGCGTAATAGTGTAGCAGTTACTGTAATAGTGGATCAATTAGCGTAACAGTGTAACAGTTAACGTAAGAATTAGTGCAACAGTGTAACAATTAGTGTAACTGTCAGCGTAACAGTGTAAGAATTATTAGTATATATAATTAGTGTAACAGTGTAATAGCGAGTTATAATTAGAATTCAGCGTGCCGGTTTCGAATTCCGGCCGAGTTCGTTACGCTCACTTTCACCCAAATACACTTAAGAAAAGTATGACTCCATCTCTTCCATTCTCACTGCCAGCCATGTCATGTTTGATTTGCCTGAGAGTCAACAAGTTAAATATAGGTTTGTTTTTCCTGAGTATCGAAAAGGTAGACATGGGTGGGGTTCGCACGACATAAGTACGTTAAGCAGTAATACGTTAAGTGCCTCTTTTTAGTTATTTTTTAGTTATTTTTTACCCCCTGCACGATGGTATTCTTGACGCCAACGAACAGGGCACAAAAGCTTCAAAAAGTAGTAAAAGCAACAAAAGATAGGAAGATGTGGAGAGCCATGACCTTCCAAGTTCCGGCAAGGCCTAGGATATAAGAAGAAGAAGAAGAAGAAGAAGAAGAAGAAGAAGAAGAAGGAAGAATCAAAGTAAAACGGGTAGTTATGATTTAATCCAAAACTTATGCGAAAAGAGATAGCAGCTGTTTCGAGCCATCTTCTTTCAGGATGATAATCCCTTGAATATGGAACAACTGATCTTATTCTTACAATGTAAAATCCTCTGGCCAAATTAACCCCTAAGAAAAATGCATTTCAAAAGAACGAATAATAATTTGGGGCTTAGTCCACGGCTGAATGGTCAATTATAAACGTACTTTCGAGCTTTTTGTTCAGGTGAATAAGATAACGGGATTCTGGGGCGAGGAAGAAAATTAAGACGAAATGAGGTTGGCAATTTTATACATCAATATATCGACAGACTTGGACATGGCCTGGCCGACTTAGAGAACTGGGAGAATGACAGGAAGGCAGATGAGGACAGAGGTCAGTCACTTTCATTAGTTGTAGCTCGTGACATTTTTCCACCGACCCTTTCGAAAACGATAATTCTTTCTCCATACCAACTTCTCCCAATCGCCCCCCAAATTCATAGAAGATACCCAGAGCATGCGTCTAATTCTTTTCACGAGCGTTTCTACCTTCCCCATTAACACGTTTGCTGTCATGCACAAGAAGCAGAAAGACAGCTCCCTTTACGACGTCTTCTTAAACGACCCAATCATCCTCACCGCCATTGTCCTTATTTTCAAGTGATTCAAACCGAATGTCTGTCGTCACTTTATCAGAGAGGAGATTACTAAACTCATAGCCGCTGCGGTTAAGTGGTCCAGGATGTTTATCATAGAATTAATAAACGCATTGCCGTGGAATTTTGATAAAACGGTTCAGCAGTAGAGCCTCGGACTGGGATGGCGTATAAAATATCGCAGACAACTAGCTAGAAGGCAACAAAACTAAAAGCAGAACTAGTTAAACAAAAATCAACCAATTAATCCATTGTCCTATTTTTGAGGCGGTAGCCATTAATAGGTTATAGATAGAAACTTATAATTAGTACCGTATTATATATTTTTAATTTTGCGAATGCGCGTTGTTTGTTTTTGAATTTGTCGACTGCACAGTATAGTTTGGTCAGTTGGGCACCGTCTGTGATATAAAGAGCACTATGACGCAATTCATTCCGCCCAAACGGCATGCTGTACTGCTTGGCGTTCGTGTAGGAAGCTCCAATACGAACACGGAGTGTTTGTGTGTTAATCTGAGGACAGTGCAGAGGAATCGGAAAGAACTGGATGATATATCCAGTCAACGTCGTGGTGTTTAGAGTGATCAAAAGTGATGGCGATATTATTTCCCTGTTCATCTTCTCACAGAGCCTAAGACTCAACATGGAGGCCCACATCAAGTGTCTTGAGAAGGTAGTGCTGCCTTGGGTCAAGAAAGTGGCTGCTGGAAGGCCCTATGTCTGGCAACAGGATCCAGCACATTCCACACAAGCAAGAAAAGCCAGTCATGGCTGTCATACAATTTTTGCGACTACAGCAACCCTTACTTATGGCCACCTAACTCCCCAGACTAGAACCTCCTTGATTATTGTGTGTTGGGGCGCAGTTGAACGGGAGACCAACGAAACTCCTTGTAAAACCAACGATGAACTGAAGGCAAAGATTATGGCAACATTCACAAACTTAAATTAGGAGAGCGTCCAGAAGAGTTGCTGGTAGTTCTGAAGTCGTCTGCAAGTCGTGGCTAAAGGCGATTTTATTGAATAAATTTAGTATTTCAAGATATTTTTGTGTCATTTTTGTAAATATATCTGTTTAAATGAGGTGTCAGTATTACTTTCATTTTGCGTAAATTAGATAATTTATCCATCACTCTCTCTCTCTCTCTCTCTATATATATATATATATATATATATATATATATATATATATATATATATATACAGGAATCCCCTCGATTAGTGGCCACTGTTAACGGATCAGTCATATTTACACTGTAACCCCAGCAAGAAAACTGACACGATCAAGCTCAAATTCGACCAGGTGACCACAATACCACTAACTAAAATCACGCATGAGCAGAAGGCAGCATGATAAACCTAAACCTATATTATGGCGAAAGTGCCGCGAAATGCGACTAATTTTGATGTACCCTCGTATATATATATATATATATATATATATATATATATATATATATATATATATATATATATATAAAATGTAAAAGAACGGAGAATAAAATTACAACGTTCAAAACATTAATTTAAAACAGGGCTCAATGCAAAAGTAGAGCAATAAATATTTATTATACACTGTTACATTAGAACATGTAAATATCCACTACAAAATTGTACATTTTGTTTCAACGTTAAAATCAAACGTTTCTTCAGGTGGCTAACAATGATGGTACTAAACTATTTTATTGAAAATCTCAATTAATGAAACACTACTCCACTTTCCGTTTTTGGAAAATTTTCCTTAAAAGGTAAAAAGGATTTATACAAAGAAAAAGGAAAGAAGATAAGAAATAAAAAAAAAGGAAGGAGAAAAAAAAAAAAGAAAAAGAAAAGAAAGTAAAGAGAATGCATAGGAAATTAGCCCTACTACCAAGAGAAAAGGCAAAAAAGAAAGAAAGGCGAAAAAGATGTTGATACAAATTAAACCAATGAAATTGTGTTGAATCAGAGAATTCAAATTTCAACTGAAACGCGGCGTCAATGGATACGCTATAAGGATCATGTCGCATTTACAATTCTATGGCATTTGTATATGAAGTCATATATTCAAACGAGATTATCCACAGAAAGTAAAATTGGACACTTTACGAAGCAATGCAATACTTAACAAAAATTATTTTACAATATAAATTAGAATAAAATATAAATTTTAAACTTTTATATTATTATATTAATTATAAATTATTATTTAAAATCCCCCCCAAATTAATAAAATAAAATAAAACTAAAAGTAAAAAATAATAAAAATAAAATTAAAATAAACTAAAAATAAAAGTATAATACAAGGCTAATCATACTACTAATAAATTATCAAATATTAACCAATTAAGCCTAAAACTGGGATAAATTAACGATGAAAACAATGAAAT